GCTAATCCACGTATAAAAGCCCAACGTACAAATCGAGTTTCACGGGCGCGTAAGGGATGGGCATATCCGCTCCACGTGGTTTGTCTTTACCAAAATATTGCTATAGTCGTAAAGCTGTAAAAAATAATTGATAAACGTTTTTAATTGAAGTTTTGTATTGAAATTTCAATGCCAAGAATTCCCGAAAATTTACGTGAGAGGGCCTTGGGCATGCTTGAAGCTGGGTGCACAACTGCGGAGCTTGCAGCTCGTGTTGGTGCATCCGTGCAATCAAACCTTCAGCGGCGATTTGCACAGACTGGGGAGTACAAGGGACTTGCCGGGTAACGGAAGATCGCACGTAACGTCTCGAGCCCAAGACCGCTATATCTTGAACCAGCACCTGTGCGATCGCTTTCGAACACCGACAGCTACAGCTGCTGTTACCCCCGGTACTCACAACAACCGTATTTCCGCCCAGACAGTAAGGAATCGTTTAGCCGAGAGCGGTGTGCACGGACGTGGTGCGTTCGTCGGTTTTGACGCGCCACAATCGCAATAATAGAGAGCAATGGGCCCTTGGACACATAAACTGGACAAGACAGCGTTGGCGGACAATTCTTTTTACTGATGAGACAAGGTTTGCATTGTCTCGAGCTGATGGCCGTGTACGGTTATATCGACGCAGGAATGAACGTTATGCCGACTCCTGCGTACTGCAACGGGATCGTTTTTGGGGTGAGGGCTCAGTTATGGCGTGGGGCGGTATTGCCTACGGGTATCGAACCCCGCTCGTCGTTATTGATGGCAAATTAAATGCCCAAAAATACAGGGAAGACATTTTAGGCCCTCATGTTGTCCCTCTGCTTCAGATTCATAACGTAATAACGATGTTACAACAGGATAGTGCCACATCCCATGTTGCTCGTGTCAATATACAGTATTTGTGTTTACAAAATCATAACGTTGATTTCATCGACGACTGGCCCTCAAAAAGTCCAGATTTGAACCCAATTGAACATCTTTGGGATAATGTGCATAGACGCGTACGTCGACGTCCGAAACCTCTAAACATCGTCAACGATCTTCGAGCAGCATTGCTTCAAGAATGGAATAATATTCCATAGGCTGACATTAACAAACTTGTGCTCTCAATGCGACGTCACTGTCAGGCAGTCAGCTTCGCACACGGCGGTCACACACGCTACTGATTGTTAACTTTAGAAACGACCCCTACCTTATTTTAATTTAAATTCAACAATCAATCTGATCCTATCCTCCAATATGAAGAATTTTAAAAGAACCACAATACATTATTTTACAAATATGTAAGCTTTCAGCCAAAAGGATTGAAAAACTGTACTAACATATCCACATTCAAACTTGGCGAAAGTTTCTTTTTTGTTTCTTATATATATTGTCAGTAACAATTCACGAATGTGTTTTCCTTCTTATGAAAAGGTGTAAAAATATCAAATCCAAATGAAATTTACCCGAATCAAATGCATAATTGTATTCTTTCTCATTTGAAATACACAATTACTTTTAGAAATGGCGGTCGCTTACATGTCTTAGGATCATTTTTTGACGCGGCGTCTATTAGATATGAATTTGTCTATTCAGCAATGGGGAAAACTTTAGTCTCGCATTTGTGTATTTTTTTTAAAATCCAATGTTTTCAAATTTTCTAATAAAAATATGTACAACATGTCACCGAGCTTTAATGAAATTAAATAAACCCTTAACTGAAGTGATAGTGCCATGTTTGAATATCATATTATTTTTATCAATATCTATTTTTACATAATAAATAACGTGTCAATGAGCCAGTAATGACGGGAACCAAATTCGGACAGGGAACAAGGGGTATGACTAAGACACTTGCGCTACGGGCTTAACGGAAATATTTCTTGCAAAACAGGCAATGCGTATGCTTATTCATGCAAATAATTAACATTTAAGTTATAAAACAGATTTACTGAGTGGAAAAAATAAGTTTGTTTTCAAATGTATCACAAATATTTGCAATAGGTAATTTTGAAGTGTTCTGTGACGATTGCTCTCTTTTGTCCAGATTGGTTACTTACATTTAGTGGTTCTACACCTAAATTCCAGGCAAATATGCAATCTTATATCAAGTAGTTTAATCTTTTATAAATAAGTAAACTATACGTAACTGAGAATTGATTATATTTAACAATTGATTCGTAACTATTATTTGATATTACAGACATATTTTTGGTATTTGTAAAATAACAGAACAGTTCGTCCTCAAAATCATTAGAACATTATGCAATTCGCACTAATATTTAAATGGACATATTCTCGGCGCAACAGAGATATTTTCTCTACCTCTATCTTTGTCTTGCATTTATTTTAAGTATTCCAATCATTTAATTTTTTTTGTTATCCAATTTATTTTGCTTCGACTAGACCTTTTAGTCTTTGTCGCAACAAACAAACATTTTAGACATGGCATTACTTTGTGAATATATGCATTAAGTTCTACGTTTTCATAAAAATATGCAACTTTATTGATTACATACCAAGAATATGAAGAAAAATTGATTAGTGCTTCGGATTTTCAACAATTGTCAAAGCTAATTATACACATTACCTGTGACTATTCACATCATTTAGCGGCGTCTTTGATGTGCAGCATTAACATAATGATTACAGTTCACAAGGCTTGTCAATCTTTTACAGCACTACTCTAGACCTAGCTAAGGAATGTATTCCTATGCAATGAGTCGGCAAAAAACAAGCCCTGGTATGAAATCCGCAGAACATCAAGACAACGTGATCGGAAAAAAATCTATTAGATCTAATTTTTAAATGACTGGAATGCCTTTAAACGTCTCCGTTTTAAATTCAACGACTTAAAATCTCACGCTAAAGAACGTTTTTTAACAGTTTAGAATACTCGTTAGAGGAATCATAATAACAATCCGAGGCAATATTGGAAACAGTAAAATTATTAATAAAAGAAAACTGTAGTGCGTTTAGGTCACTACCATCCCTTATTCTTAATGCAAATAATAATAAGAAAAATTACACAACTGATTCCGAAAAGTTATTAGATGCTTAGTGTAGCAGCTCCTTTCTGAAGAGTATTCATGTTCAGTGAAGTAACAGAGTTTCGAAAGTGCGTGGGTTTATACCGTTTAAGTGTCCATTATAGATCTAATACCTTAAATGAATATTTTACTTCCGTTTCAAAAATTGACTCATCAACTGCGCAGCTTCTGGAATTCGTTAATAAATCAAATAACATAAGGTTTTAAATAGCGTAAATACTAAAGACGTTTTAGACATACTTTAATCATACTCCAGGGATCGGCCCTTGGGCCTCTTTTATTTCTCATCTCTATTAATGATATTGCCGGAAATTTAATTAGCATAACACGTCTTATCGCGGATGACAGCTCATTGGCCGTTTCATCCTGTGACATGCGTTACATAGAATATACTCTCAGAAACCGGTAAATGTTTTGTCGTTTAACAAAATGTGTTTTGTTGAAATACATGTCTACAATGTTAAATCGGCAATCTCAATTCAAAATGCAACATTACAGATTGTATACAAAGAAATATAACTGTTCAAATGGATGGTCTCCATAGATATAAAGGGAGACAACTCGAATACACTTTCATGGCGAAGGAAGACTACGCATTAATGTGATGTTTTCCCTTACATAAGTGTTCTTTCCAGTTGTATTTGATCTGTGATAAGGATAACTATTTTTACGCTCCATTTGCATTTCTTGTTATTTTTAAATTATATATCATGTCTTACTAGTTTTACAGACTCAAAACTCAAACTACTTCTATAAATAGTTTTTCGGATTTTCATAATGTTAAGGTCATCTATTTATAGCTCTTGAATTCATGTAACCAGTCTTAAGAGGCAATAAAGTACATGTATAATACCCCACTGCGTACTACATAAGAATTTGTAATTTCCTGCAGAAGATACAAATATAAGAAATAATTTACCGAATTTAAATTTTTATAATTTCGTTTTCTATTGTGCCTTCCTACCGGTTGACGAGTGAAATTTGTACTCGTTCTCATTCATTGATTTGCCATTCTGCGTATTACCGAAGGGGAAACCAATACATGACTTTACATAATAGAAATCGGAAGGAATGCTTGGTTCCGAATTTACTTTTCGCTATAAATCGAAGGCAAAATGACAAACACAGATAGATCCGCGTCTGTGGGCGTGGGTCGCGGAGCAATATTCATAGTACGCCCATGGCTCAACATCGATTATTATTTAAAGATTTTCGTGGTTGGCCCAATAACTCCATGTTTACAGGGATTGTATTGTATATATGCTACAGTCAAAATTTCGATTATCATAATCAAGATTATTAGATATACATGTCACACCAAAGGGAATGTACGTGCAGCACAAATTGTGTAATTTTTATGTAATTTACGGATATGTTATTTTATCTCTAGCTAAAACTATTTGCAGTTTCAATTTAAATTACTGATGATAAAAAGGTCTGATGATACTTTCAACAGAGGCATATGAAGACGCAATTGAAACATTCATATGTTGATTGAAATAAAGTCCCTCTAATTTTCTTACATATATATAAGATTCTGAATGCATAAATCCAAAATGGCAGAAAAATTCAAATTTATTGCTGATGTGCACCTTTGCATCGGTTAATTTTCAAAAAGTTAGCCTTTAAACTGTTCAAATTGTCTACCAAATTGTTTAATACTGCTTATACTGATTAAAACTTTGCTTTCAGTATCTATCTTCGCCCTTCTCAGAAAGCGCATGCGCGTAATGTTACTTCCGGTTCTAAGGTGATATTGAAATATTTAAAGATCTAACGGGGAATAAAACTATCCATTTGGAGCACCTTGTCGACTACCAACACTTATTTCGGAAACAATAAAGAATGCATTAGACACAAAAAATATACCAACTTTAGCAATGGGCAACCATATTGGACATTAATCTACAATCATTGTGTTTTTTATTTGTTTATAAGGGTAATCATCATTTATTTTACAGTAACGATGGCATCTAACGAACATGAATATGAACACTCCATCGGGTCAGAAATGGTAGATGATGACATACAGATTGAAAGCGGAATGGTATGATTCAACTTCTTAAAATTTCGGTTATTATATTTTTTTCCATATGATTAACATATGTGTAGAACGAAAACATTTAAGCTAATCAATAAGCATGAAAAAAAATTGAAATGTCAGTTACCATGACTTGTATTGCTTCTGAATAGCCTAGAGTAGATAGACTTATGATAAAATTACAATATTTCACGTCTGTGTAGTTATTTTTTACTAGAAACAATAATCTACATGTGTATATTTAATGATTTATGATTTTAATGTACAAACTGTTATGTATTTGTACTTACAATTTCATAAGAGGCACTTTTGTTACCTTAGATAGCCGTCACTGTTTATAAAAAGTTTTGGTGCCTTCATGAACTAACATTAGTAACTTGACACTTAAGTGAGTAATTGTCAAATGCAAATGGTATTGGTAAGTATTGGTAAGTAAGGCTGGCAGCGTATGGGTTAGCGGCTGTAAAAAGTCTTCCCTTAAATTTAATCAATGATATTATATTTTCGTTCCCTGAAGATCGTTCAGCACGACATTATTGTTGTGTATTGTACATTTTCTTCTATTTGGCCTTTTTAAACTTGGGCGGTGTTCCAATATTCCTACTTGAATACTGTATAATCACCTTAGGATATGTTGCCTGCTTTTTAATTTAGTCTTTTGACTTCTGGTCTGTAATACGCAGGCTTCATAACCTCAGATCCCCTTTCAAAATTCCATTTTATTAAGTTCCGCCGATTGTTTTCTCGTTTAGAGCACACGCATTCTTTTATTTGGGAACAATACGCCGCTTTTCATGGAATGGCACGAAAGTGTCACATTGAAGGTTCCATGATAACCGCCGAATGAACACATCTGCGGATGTTTCTTAATTCAAAATTTCACCATTTTTCGTGTTTAAATGTTGATTGCTGCTTAAGCCAGTGCTAGAGGCGTGGACGGTATCTTGCACTTTCCAGTACCGTCCATGAACAGACTCAATCAAACCGAGCCTGCAACATTTTCAATTTTGTCGTGTTGGGCTTTCTTTAGAGATTCTTTTTTTTCTTTTTCTATTTTAGAATGCTTCTTTACCCATTGTACCTAAATTATTGCATCCATTTATATTCATGACGAATCTCGCAATAATACAAAACCAACCTAAAAACCACTCTGATGTAAATGTACTATATAAAAATAAGGATGTCAGTTATCCAGTCAGCGTTTCTTATTCCCTTTTCTTTTATTCTTTGGTCTACACCCGTATTGTCATTGAATTCTAGAAAGTGTCCAGTCACTACATTTCTTATAACTGAATAGGAAAAAAATTTGCATGCCGTTAACGCCAATTTTGTCACATTTAAGATGGGACATTCTGGGACACTTCTACCGAAGGACAACCCTTTATTCCCTGAATGCTCGCACAGACGCTGAATGACCAAACTTTATCAGCAATGTTGAATCACACATATGCATCCATTATGATCACAATGATGTAGTTATGCTGATATGCAATGCTTGCTGCTATTTATCTTGAATGTCAGGTGGCACCTACACTATCTCTCATGAACAAAGTCTATAAATCTGAGTCTGCAGTTTTCAACTTGCTATTAAATAAATGTTTAATATATCTCTCGAGGACTTACTACTACTTTAACAATACTTAATTCATATGCATTAAATTTTGACTGATAAATGCTTCTGTATTAAGCCTTTGCAATAGGGTAGGTAGACGAGACGAAACATTTTCTATCATTTATTATCAACAAACTAAAGCAAATCGAGTATGATTCTTTTCCACCTATTCATTCTAGTCTCATATTGCTCTCAGGGGTTGTTCCTATTGTGCAGAGTATAGACGTGCTAAATAAGTAGCCATATTCATACAAATCAATGACACTCTATATTACAAAGTATCAAAACTAATTTTGATTTGTCTTCATTTTATATTGATGCAAATACACTCCTTTAAAAGTACAGTAGCACCTTTCTCATTTTGAGCATCATATGACTTATAACTTTGAAAATCATTATTGCTTTAGAAGGGCGAATTTTTGGGTACATTGCACAACGATCAAGTCTGTATAAATTATACCCAAACAAAATGACGCAGCTTCCATAGAACGTCATGTGACCGTGATCGCTTATTAGGATTCATGGTAATCGTTTGCTCATTTAGGCAAATGGTACCCGAATTATGCGTTTCATTTTCACAGCTCTTTAACCATTTTAACTTTTATATTCTGATTTTTTCCAGTCCTTTTAAAAGTTTGTGATTTTTTTTTCTTTTTTTCAGGAAGATATGTCAATCGAAAATCTGTAAGTTTAGTTTAATTTTTTATTAACATTGTTTGCAAAGTAATTTTCAATAGGATTTTAACACTCAAACTGCTCAAAATTGTATTTACGTTAAATGTATCGTAATACATTGGCCATTAACAAAATAAGGAACTGACCTATAATGTGTCGGTTTGACGTATAACCCAATTAAACAAACAAACAAAAGAAAAAACAACTGTTGATGAACCTGTATGATAAATTTTATATTTGGTATTTAGCTGCTGTTAATTGTATTTCAGAACAAGCAGGTTGAAGCTATTTCATACACCGCAACGATTGATTTATACAGATGAAGAAGAACTGTTGCAGTTAAATGGCGATGTTTTGTCTCAACTTTCACAAATTAACATGAAAATTAATGTAGTCGGTGTCTGTGGTTTGTATAGAACTGGAAAATCCTATTTAATGAATTGGATTGCAGGTGAAAAAACAGGTAAGTCAGCTATCATTTCATACATACCATAAATGATCATTGATGAAAATTATTGAAATCTGAAAAATGGATGATCGCTCAGAAGCAGTGAAAACTGAAATACATAATATCGTTAAAAGTATGTTAAACTTTGAAACAAACATTTCATATAACTTCAAATGCGTAATAGTTTAACGTCTTATCTAGTAACGCAGGAATGTGCAAATAACGTAAAAGTATCACCGAATCTGTGCAACGCTATTGCCAGAACGAATAACACAGTAAGTAAACGAACCAAAATATTTTATTTAATTTAAAGAAAAGAATTAGCGCATACGGCTGCTACGGCATTATACTTTAATCAGTATTACAATTTGTGTCAGGTTTATGTTTACTTCTTAAGATCATTCTTGAGAAAGACATCCTGATTACCGTTTTGATGGTGACTTTTGTGTTTCGTCAAATAAATATGTACATTTCACACATTTAAAACAGTATTTTTTCATATTCATTATACCTAAGACATTTGTCAAACTACAAGGGTCTAAACAGAAGGAAGCTTGTTAAATAAGATTTAACTACCTTTAATGAGATAACCGCCGTTGCTTCAGTGCTTCATTACAAAGCCGGCGTTACCTCGTAAAAATGGCCTCAACAATTATGTTTTATCTGCTAAATTAGTGTAATATAACACGAGTAGATTGGAAAATGTCTCAGGTACACCGAATTTTAAAAAAAATCATGAAGAAATATGTATGTTATTGTATTTAAAGATATCAACGAAACTAAAAGTCGCTATCAATACGATAGTCAGATCGACATTTTCACGAATGGTCTGGAAAAATAAATATTTTCACGGAAACATTTTTAAGAGGTTTAAAGTATAATAACTCAGCCACGGTATGCGCTAATTTATTTCTTCAAATTTGATGTAAAATAAAAATATTGGTCCATTTATCATCGCGGTGCTCGTTTTAAGCAAAATTCTGCGTTACTAATGCACAATTCCTGCGTTATTTCCACATTCCTGCGTAACTGGATATAAACGGTGACTCACGGCAAACCTTAAATTAATTATGTATGTTAATGTTAAGCTTTACCTGATTTTTAAGACTAAACATTTGTCTGAACAGTCCATCATTTACTTTTAGGGTTCAATCTTGGCGATACGGTTCGATCAGAGACAAAAGGGATATGGATCTGGTGCAAGCAACATCCAACGAAATGTGACCAAGTGTTAGTTTTGTTAGACACAGAGGGTTTAGATGATCCCGAAAAGGTTACATTTACTTTTTGCTTCTAATACACGTGTAGAACTTATACTTTATGTATTCATGGCTCATAATTAAAAAGTTTGAATATGAATTTTCTAGAGCAATGAAATACGCCGGATGTAGGTGGTACTTACAAAAGGAATAATTCGGATCCGGATAAAGCTTGTATGTACAAACGGAGAAGAATTCGTAGATTTAACTTACTCTGTTAAGAGTAAGTGATGTACTAAGATTTTAAAAATGGACATTATTTCATCGGAACGAGTAAGCTTTATCGTTGGAACGACATGCTCCTCGGCTAACTTGTTAAAGGAGATATAAAAACGGGTCATCCTCTTTGTTTTGCAGAACACGAGCTACTTTCTGTCCAATATGCTTCTCTAACATTTTGAGGTTAAAACAAATAAGAGCTTTTGTGAATGTATTGTGTGCGTCGTTATCCAACTTTTCTGTCAGCAACCACTTTAACTAATCAATTTGTTTTAGTACAGACGTCAACATCATGATCCTTTTGTGGTCCTCAATAAAATATTATGAATGATCTTAAATTTTTCCACACTTAAATCACATAAGGTTAAAATGGAATGAAACCTTTATAAAAACTCCTCCTCTTGTTTAAAACTATATGAAAAACAAATTTGCATGTACATTTTATTTTCTAGTGCAAGGTTATGCAGCTTAAATAACGACTTTATAGACAATTTTATGTGATTGATCGTCAGTACGGACAATATATTTCTCATTCAGGCAATATAATTAGATACGTTTGTTGCCTACATGCTAAACGGATAAATAAATCATGACCATAAAGTAGAGTCTAAGATGATAGCCGGAAAATATATTTCTCATTTTCTTTAGTAACCCTAAATTTGATATCTTAAGACTCCGCTTTGAAAACTGATTTTATTCCCGTATTTAGATACTCGTATTCCCCAAAATATGCAAAGTAATTGCAAATTGCACGGACGAGAATCCTGATGTCTAGATCCTTTTACCAAATGAGAAAAAGCTTACTATATTAACGAAAGCAAATCATCAATATCAATTCTATGAGAGAAGACAATGGGAAGTCGAAACATTCCCGCCAGATCTCCTATCAGTAATCTATATTACAATTTGACTTTATAAGTAATATTTGTCATTTCAATTTAAGGAAGATGTCGAACATGACAGCAATCTGTTGTGTCTTACACTTTTGATGAGTAGTACACTTATCATAAATGTAAAATCTGTGTTCGACTACACCACCCTGGACAAGTTAGCGTATCCTTTTAGTATACAAAAGACATAGCTATATTGTAGCAATTGTTTGTTTTATGCATGTCTACTTTAAAGAAAACGCATTAGATACAAAATATTGGTAAATACAGACGTATTCACTCTCACTTATATATTTATCAATGATATTATTATACTTATACTGATATCAATTAAATATGATATATGTCATATCTGAAGTATTTAATCTTGAGAAAGCCTCTTAAAACACTCTCTGGTACATTGGACACGTTCCATCTTCTGGTCAGAAGTAAGCAATTGGGGACCCATTTGGCATTCGTTTCGGTTAAAAATGTTTTGTTTTGTTGTATTGTTTTCAGAATCGCGTGAGTTTTACTTCGAAATCTCTAAAAGCTCGACAAATGATAATTTGGTATCTCTATAAATGATAAAATTGACTGAACTTATGTTTTCACAATAAGAACCGAATCACGTATTTCTACCGGACATACGAGTACGTACATTTTAATTTACTCCTATCTGTTTTATTGTATCTATATTTCCACCTTTGCATCAGGCAGTTTACCATCACAACAAATACTGCAAATTTCTAGATGAATATTGATTATAGATATTCCAAGTGTTGCTTGAGATTTAAAATAACCCCGTATTTCAGTACCTTTAACAGAAAGTTTACATGTGATTGCCTGTAAAGACTAATTTAGATTAAGATAAAGTTGAACAATGAAAAAACTACTCGAATGCGCCTGTATTAAGTATGTTTTAAAATAGAGAAAAATAGAATCCCTAAAGAAAAGTCCAAAACGGCAAAAGTGAAAATGTTGCAGGCTCGGTTTGATTGAGAAAGTTCATGGACGGTACTGCCAAGTGCAAACTACCGTCCACGCCCTAAGCTTTCTAGTATTGAAGTACGGGCTTCATGTAATAAGACAGAATCAGATTGATATATAGAAAAATGCTTCAGTGAGCTCTCTTTTAGCAAGCAGTTGTTATAAGGATATAATAAATGATTTCCTCGAAATAAAGCATTAATGGAATTTCTTTTGGAACATTCATTTATTCTATTGCAAATGATTTTACAACTTAAGGGGCGGGTGCTCGCAATTTTCTGTAATTATCAATTCCTTAATTTAAAAAGTTTTATTGCTTCACTATCCGACATGATAAAAGTTCTAGATGATGAAGCGGAAGACAAACATAATGCCGAAACAATTCAAGTTGCTTCTCCCACTCTAATGATGTGCATCAGAGATTTTTTCCTGAAAAATACAAAGGATGGAAAACACCAGACTCCAACTGAATACCTTGAAGATAACCTTAAAACAGTAGACCTGTCTACCTTCAAACCGAAACAACAGGAAAAACAACTGAAATTCAACACCATTAAACAATATATCAAAAAGTATTTCCAAAGAGAACATGCTTTACGATTGCACAGCCAGCTATTGGAGAGAATCTTCAGAAAATTGAAGAATTAGATGAATCATCTTTAGAGAGGAGTTTTGTCGAAAACATAAACACATTGCGCAGTTACGTTTATGACAGAAAACCTAAGTACATCTGCAACGCAAGCAATAAACCATTAGACGGAGCAGGTAAGTACTGGAGTTTCTTTTTCAAACTAGATTAAAATTGAAACTGGAGTTGATAAATACATACATGTATATTAATATTTCAAAGGAGTGTAAATAAGTCATTTTAAAACTGCCAAAACAGCTATATTATATATGCAATTTCTTGTGCTGAACATCGGGAGGAAAACTTGCTCCCAAATGCTAAATGTTAAATAAATGTCGTGTTCGACCTCAAGTCTGTAAAATGTATTATTTGGCTCATATTGGGGGCATTTCTATTACATAGAAATGAAAAAAAAATATACAAAAAAAGAAATAATTGAAATCGATGCATGAATTTATACAAATTTATTTCTTAAGTAAAGTCACAAATCCTATTTTAAATTGTAAAACTGAAAATTTGCTTTCGGGACAGTTTGAGTGTTTCTCTAATAGACAAAACATAGTAAAAGTTATAATGCTATAATTCCCGAAACTTCTTTAAACACTTTTGAGATAGTCTGAACAACATCTTAAATAGTTTATATCAATAGGTCAAGGTAACAGCATGACTAAGAGTTACATGTTTGTCTTATTTTAATGGTCCTTCGGGACTATTGATTCGGCGCTTTTAAGAGAACGGGGTTTAAGATTTACAGTTCATTTTTATTCACATTGTTATAATGCTCCCCGAATTGAGAGCATATAGTCGCCACCTTGTCCGTCTGTCCATCTGTGCGTCTGTGTGTCCATTTTTTCCGGAGCATAACTCAAAAACCCTTGGACATAATTTGTTTAAACTGCACACAGTGGTAGAGGACATTAAGGCGGACTGCAGTGCCAAAGAACAATAAACTGTTTTGTCCTGTTTTTCAATTATCTCCCCTTTTAGAAAGATCTTGTCCGGAGCATAACTTGAAAACCTTGAATATAATTTAAGTGGAAGAGGTCATTGAGGCGGTGTGCAGTGCAAAAGAACCATAATTATGTTTTGCCGCGTTTTTGAATATCTCCCCTTTTAGAAAAATCATGTCCGGAGCATAACCTAAAAACCCTAGAAGTGCAGTGCAAAAATAACGTAACTCTGCCTGGCCTTACTTTCCTTTGTTCATTTTTACACTTTGAACATTGTCCAGGACATAAGTCTATTACCATAAGAGATATCAACATGAAACTTTGTAGGCAGAGATATTTCATTGGGTAGAAGTGCGGTACAAAAACACGTACTCTGCCTTCCCTAATTTTGGAGTAATGCCCTTTGTTCATTTTTACACTTATCCAGGGCATAGCTCTGAAATCGTAAGAGGTATCAACAAGAACCTTTGTAGGTAGATACATCTCATTGGGTAGAAGTGTAGTGGAAAATAACAACAAACTCTGCCTTGCCTAATTTTAGAGCCATTGTCTTTTGTTCATTTTTCACTACGAAAATTGTCCAGGACATAGCTCTGAAAATGTAAGAAATATTAGCAAGACACGTTGTATGTAGATATATCTTACTGGGTAGTTGTGCAGGGCAAAAGAAACATTTCTATGCCTTGTCTAATTTTGAAGTTAATGCCCTTTGTTCATTTTTACACTTTTAATGAACTTTGTCCAGGACATAACTCTGACACTATAAGAGATATAAACAAGAAACTTTGTATGTAGATAGATCTCATTGGGTAGATCAGCAATACAAAATAACCGTAACTCTGCCGTCTCTAGTTTTTGGAAATATTGCCTTTTGTTTATTTTTTCACTTGAACTTTGTCCGGGACATACCTCTGAAACTATAAAAAATATTATTGCATAGATATGCAGTGCAAAAGAATAGTATTTCTGCCTTGCCAACTTTTTGGAGTTATTGCCCTTTGTTTAAATTTACACTTTGAACTTTGTCTAAGACATTACTATGAAACTAAAAGAGATGTCAACAAGAACCTTAGTCGGTAGATAAAGCTCATTGAGTAGAACTGCAGTACAAAGAATTGTAAATCTGCCTTGCCTAATTTTGGAATTATTGCACTTTGAACTTTGCCCGAGACATAACTCTGAAACAACAAGAGTTGTATTGTTTATGTCTAAAACCTTTTCGGGGAGCAACACCCTGTTCAAACCGTATCTAGTTGTACAACGTATATTTCTAAATGGTTATTAGGTAATTTATCTTATTCAATGATGTTGAAAGCTCAACGAGCAGTTTGTAACTTAGACAGTCAAATTTTCAGACTTTTTAGAAGCCAAACGACTTTTGAAATGCACTCAAACACGATTTCGATTTCAATACAATGTGTTTACAATTTCAGCTTCATGAAATCTTGATATGAATGTCATAAATTTGAGATTTGATTTTATGAGGTTGAATATCTGAATTCTTGATGCTAAACCGTAAAGTGAAATCGTGAGTTCATGAATTTACTATGTGAAATTCGCGAATTCTTGAAGTTGAAATCTTAAGCTCGTCTAGTTGTATTGATAAATTCTTGAAATTAATATGTCTCTATCGGTCTTTCAGAGTTTAAGAATATTGATGTAAGGTAGTCTTACTGTAATGTTTTCCCGCCCAAAAAATCTAACATCGGCCCAAATTGTAATAAATCAGTCATTTTTATGTCATTTTTCACAAACTTCAATATTCAATGATTTTAAACCATTTATAACCCGAATTTTCGTACATAGCGAAAAAGTATAAGTGACTGTAAATAAAATAATGCAAAGATTTTGAAAAAAAAATAACGTCAAGGAAAATACCAACAATTTGTTGTTTGTATATTTAGATTTAACAACTCTCATCACGTTTTACGTAAACTCACTAAGGAAAGGTAGTCCATTGAAGTGTCAAGATGCATATGGACAAACTTCTCGCCAGCGTAAGAGGGGTTTTTAAAAAGGTACTCACAAAGTTTAGAAAAAAATGGCAAATATAAATATAGAAAGCCCAAAAGAAACTTGACCGCTTCCCCTGTTTTATGTCGCATATTCCAAATACCGTGAAGGCGCATTTCTGTACCTTCAAAATGAGTATGAAGAAAGACTCCTGGTAAAGTGTGCCTTTACAATGTACCAATTCTTCTTTCAACTTTTGCTTTATAAAAATTAATTATTAGAGGGATCAGTTTATAAGTGTTATATTCTAAATCCTTGTAACCTTGAAACGGCGTCAATGCCTTATATTATGGTTGCAAAAAATCAAGGATTATATTTTACAAGTATAAACTTTTTCAAAAATGTTTTGACTCAACGTTTAGTCATGAATATAGAAATGATATTTAATGCCTTGCCTAATACCTGTATTGTATATGGTCAACATATAAAGCCAACAAAAATACTTGATTTATTCTTACTATTCCGTTCTAGTCAATATATTTTGGACGTGCTAAGCTAGATTCTGAGATAATTTTTGTTCTGGGATATTGTCCATAAGAAAAATATCACAATTATAACTAAACGCGTAGTACAAAATTGGCAAAAAATATTTTCTTATTACGAAATTAATAACTTACTTGCTACACATTAAAATTGATATCTGAATGTCATTCATGCATTCTGTAAATGGAATATACGTTCTATACTCCGTCGAATGCCTGGCGAAGTTTTTTTTGAATGAACTATAATTGCCCTGCTATATTATAGGCATGATACAATAAAAACTCTCATAGTATTAAACCCGGCCAGAAGAAAGCATTTATTTTGTTGTTGTTTTTTTTCTTTAAGTGCAAGGTTCGGAATATATATATATATATTTATATATACTTATTTTTAGACTCTTATCAGAAATGACATGTAGCAAAACATATTGCAATTTTTTTGTGGTTGAAAGACTGGTACTGGGTTTGTACATTGATAATGGTATTTTTTACTTTTACGAATAGGTTAACCGACAAACATGGCGGTTGGGCGAGCCTTTTTACGTATCCATTTTGTCCATTTTTTATCATGTGATATTAAATTATTCTCTTAGGTTGGCTAAAGGCGTTGTTCAAATTTTGTAAATTGTATGTTCCTGAACGGCGATAACTACAGCGAAAGCTTTCATGCAATATATTAGAAAATTGATGCTCTATTGGCAGTCATCATTTCATGACATGCTGATATATCATAAGAATGTATAATAGAATAATATGAACATTCTTTAATAGATACTCTTACTATTATCCATTATTTTAAATTTACTATTTTATATTTAACATTCCGCTAATTATGACTTTGTTTGAGGGAAAATTGGTTTGAATGCGTCAAATATAAAGTGAAAGTAAAGTTTATATATTTTTATAGGCGGAAATGCAAGCATATTTATATATGATGAAAAACAAAATAAATAAAACATGTATGGAAAATGGAACGAATAAGTTGTCAAAGATGTATTATGCCATGTTAAGGAAAAACCAAAGTAGATACATCACAGGTGAGACAGGCTACAGTAACTACGAAGCTGACATGGAACAACTGAAAGGGGATTTTTTTGAAGAGAAGAAGCTTTATGACAAAGATGTTGTAAGAAAGGGTTTTATTTTCTTTAATTCCTTTTACATATTTTGCGTGAAGCTAAGAGGATTCGCCTTATAGACAAACATATTCAGATAGATCAGATCATGTAACTTTCGAAAACTTTCTTATTATTTCATATTCATTTTAAACTGTTCATTATTTTAGCAAATGTAAAGTTTGTCAAGTTTGCCATTCGTCATGTTTGCAAATCACTGTTTACAGTTAAATAGGGGGAGTGGTGGTAAATATTTTTCTTTGTTTTTATCCCAATAATATTTTGCCATGAGATGTTAAGAAATTGTCACAAAAATACGTTTGTTCCAATTTTTTCTCTGCAGTTCATTTTTAATCTTACAGTCTACCAACCTTCTTCGCTCTTAATGTCTACCAACACATGTATCAAAATATCACATAATTGAATGCATGCATTTTGTACAGTTGTTTTTGGTTTCTGGTAAATTTGCTTCATTGATATTTTTTTATTGTTTACACCTTCGATACATTTTAAAAATTAAGATTTTAATGCAAATTAATGTGTTTGTTACAGCTATATCAGTGCTTTGACGAGTTTATGAAGAGCAAATCTGATGATAAGATGGCACTGTACCGCCGTGTAACTGGCCAACGGAACAAAGACGAATACGGTACTATATTTTGTATATAGAATAAAACATTATAGGAAAACAAAATCAAAGTGTTAATCATAAAAAGGCAAGAATATTTTTCAGGGATCAACATTTCAAAATGTTTGTTCGAACTACTTGATCTGAATTTATTCTTCCTTACATACATAGTATTTTGTGTCGGAATATGACACTGTTGAATTGACCATTTTTGATGTAAGCGTAAATACACACATTATACAACTACTTATGATTTACAAAAAAAATTGAAAATTTTTGGGTTTTTTTTCAGATAAATTCGGGAAAATACAGAAGGGATAAAAATAAAACTTGATCCGGGTGTACTTTTTTAAAGGGGAAAAAGAGAGAGTCAATATTAGAGGAACACTTGAAAACCTAAAGGAATTATGGGGAAAACTGATAAATCTTAAAAAAAGAACCCCTTTTTGTTAAATTTATGTAAAAGATGTGAATTATGCCATTCCGTGAATTATGCCATTCCAAAAATTCGAAAACATGTTAAATATACCATATGTGAAGACAAAAAAAAGATAAAATGTTTCAGCATTTGCACTAGACAGTCATAAAACACTTGTAAATCCTTCCATATATTATTTTATAGCAATAAGTTTTTATTAAGAAATACTTTATTATCCAGCAAAGATATTTTTACCTTATTCGGCATTGTAAGCCAGTGCATGAAAATAAAAAAAAACAATTTGCTCATTTTAACATTTGAAAAGATTTAAATCAGACTCTTAATATGTAGAACAATTCATTGGGTTTCTTTGTGTTTTATTTTATTATTTTGTTTTATTGTACGGCGCATAAACACAATTTAGGTCATATTGCATCCAAATAGAAAACATGACTTTGGCTTTCCTCGGGTCTTACAAGCTTAACAATGGGGTCATTCGTTTAGCGCATTTTCAGTATAGAATGTGTTTGGATATATTTAAACTTGTATATCCTTGGTTTGAACCCACGTCCCTCAATTTCAATGTAGTTGACAAGTGATTCTAGCCTATTTGAATACTCTTTAAAGTGGAGGTAATGCATTACCCATGGTCTTCGGAGAACAGTTGTCGTTAAGGTCAACATTATTAAATTCAGCTATAAATAACGCTCCGCTTTTAGATCTGACCTGACCAAATACGAAATCATTTATGGTAATCTTTCACACATCTTTCACATAATTTTGAAAACGATGTGGTTTCTAATTTTAACCATGGGACAACCAATAGTGAGTAGGTAATTTTCACGATTTCGAGAACAAACATGACGTTGTCCATATAGCGACGGGTAAACTGGCAAAAGAAATCTTGCCCATTAAAAATTGACTCTATTATTTTAAGGTTATTTGTTAAAAATTACATAAAAAAAACATTTTTTTGTCAAACAAAAGTCAACAATTTGCTAATAACGGTAATTGATACTTATTCTAATGCCTACTTGTATGTAAAAACTGGTTTGATTGCATGGCTAAAAATAGCTTTCTCGGAAATCTGTATTTTAAAGTAGGGCGTCAACAGATCTACATAAAAGAAATAAGTAAATTGATTGCGTTATGGCTTAACCAAAAGTAAGTAATACACGAACGCAACAATTTGGCAATATTTTCTAAATTGTTCTATTATTCGGCAAGATAACATTCAAAACTTTTTTTCATTCAAGGACACGCATGTTCAAAAGACCCATCTTGTTATATGGGTTTTTAACAATTACAGGCAAGTTTGAAAAAAAAGGGCGGGCCCTTTGCCCAAAATTAACGTTTAATATTTTTTAATCATGTCTTAACTTTTAATTTGCGGGGTTTCTTTTGTCTTGTTTTTGTTGTTTTATTTCTTTCTTCTTTTTTTTTTGATGTTGTTTGTTGCTTTTTTATTATTAAATATATATTTTTGGGGCTTTTTGTTTTGTTCTTTTGTTTTTTTAATCCTAAATGAAACAAAAACCTAACGCCTCTGGTAAAAGTATTTTTTCCCCGGGAATTTTTTTGTCACCCCCCAAACCGTTTTTATTTATAATTTTAAAATTAAGACTGTATGTCTGCAGAAAACTGTTTTAACTTCTTAATAATATTGAGAAAAAGTTATAAAATAGCATGCACGCTATTCATATTTGTTAAAAAATAAATATGAAATATAAATATGAAAGCGGACGGAGTCAAAACTCATATTTATTTTAAGGGATGTATTTTGCCAGTTTGTTTGAAAAAATCTGATAAATAAAAAACAACATGTTGTTTTGAAAACTATCTAGAATGATAAACAAAAACTGTCGGAGGACAGTAACGCTCGACTATTCGAGAAGTTGTCACAAGGGTGTTTCATTGAGTATAATAATGCTTACCTATATGAATACATAAAATTGTCCGAAAATCCTTCAGTAGTTATGGAGATGCCAGCTTACAAGCAAAAATTTACCTAGAATTTCTAAGTCAAAAAAGGGGCATAATTATGCAAACAAACAAATCAGAGTTATGGGACTTGTGCCAATCATTTTAGATAATCACAGAGAACAAGTGTGTGAAGTTTCAATCCATTCCCTTCAGTAATTATGGAGATACCAGCTTACACGCAAAAACTTGATATTATTATACTTAGATATTAATTAAATATGATATATGTCATATCTGATGTATTTAATCTTGAGAAAGCCTCTTAAGACACTCTCGAGTACATTTGGACACGTTTCCATCTTCTGGTCAGACTTAAGCGATTGGGGACCCATTTGGCATTCGTTTCGGTTAAAAATGTTTTTTTTTTGTTTGTATTTTTTTTCAGAATCGCGTGAGTTTTACTTCGAAATCTCTAAAAGCTCGACAAATGATAATTTGGTTATCTCTGTTAAATGATAAAATTGACTGAACTTTATGATTTTCACAATAAGAGCCGAATCACGTATTTTCTACCGGACATACGTACATTTTAATTTACTCCTATCTGTTTTATTGTATCTATATTTCCCTTTGCATCAGGCAGTTTACCATCACAACGAATACTGCAAATTTCTAGATGAATATCGATTATAGATATTCCAAGTGTTGCTTGAGATTTAAAAATAACCCCGTATTTCCAGTACCTTTAACAGAAAGTTTACATGTGATTGCCTGTAAAAGACTAATTTAGATTAAGATAAAGTTGAACAATGAAAAAACTACTCGAATGCGCCTGTATTAAGTATGCTTTAAAATAACAAAAAATAGAATACATAAAGAAAAGTCCAAAACGACAAAATTGAAAATGTTGCAGGCCCGGTTTGATTGAGTCTGTTCATAGACGGTACTGCCAAGTGCTAAACTACCGTCCACGCCCTAAGCTTTCTAGTATTGAAGTACGGGTTC